TTTGGTGAGTCCGAATGGCATTACCAAATACTCGTACGATCCATACCGAGTTCGGAAAGCAGTTTTGTGGATAGAGTTGTCCGCCATCCGTATGTGCCAGTATCCGAGCCGCAGATCCAATTTGGAAAATACCGTAGCTCCCCGAAGCTGGTCAAGCAGGTCATCGATTCGTGGTATCGGATATTTATTCTTGATGGTCTGCTTGTTAAGAGCTCGGTAATCGATGCACATGCGCAGGCTTCCGTCCGGTTTCGGTGTGAAGAGTACTGGGGCACCGTACGGCGAAGTGGATGGTCGGACGAGTCCTTTGACTAGGAGATACTCGATCTGTTTTTTCATGCCGGTCAGCTCCGTAGGGCTGAGCCGATATGGTGCTCGGAAGGTCGGCTTCGAACCCGGTTCCTCCACGATCTTGTGTTGATGCGTTCGGTATGGCGGTAGCTCGTTCGGAAGATCGTCAGGAAGAATGTCTTGGAACTCCTTCAATAATTCCTTGATCTTTCCCGGAGGTTCTGAGGTCTTCTCTCTGGCGTTCTCCACCTCTGTTGCTATCGCCAGGAACCCGGTGTCGGTTCGCTTCACGTCCTTCTCGAATCGTGCAAGTGTCTCCATTGGGATATCTCCTGTATCATCCCAGTTGGGTAGTTGTACTCTCCGTCCACTGTTGTAGATGCTTGCGGTGCGTTTTACCCAGTTGATCTCGGGGTTGAATTTTTTTAGGAAGTCTCGCCCGAAGATCAAGTCAAGCCCTTTGATGTTGGTGATGGGGAGTGCAGGTCTCCAGCGCAGTGGTCCGATTTGTAGGTGTAGCACTGCTTCGCCGTGTACTGGTAACTTGCTTCCGTCCACCATCGTTGCAGAGAATCCTGAAGGCTTGTACTCTTCCCGAAGTTGGTCGATTACTGCCTTGTCGCAGACGGTGTGTGATGCTCCTCTGTCCACGAGTCCTTGGAGGCGTCGTCCTTTGCAGATGACCTCGAGCACGAGGGGCAGGCGTTGCTCGGAGTACCCAAAGATGGTTTCATTTATTGGGTCATTAGGTACATCCCAATATTCCGTACACATCTTTGTGTTGCTATCTACTCCTGAGCTGGCAGCTGCCCGAGGCTGCTTGGAGAACGGCTCTTCTCCAGGGCCCGGAGTTTCCTTGACGACTATGCGCGTCATTGATGCTGAAGAAGTGGATGCATCCGGAGGAGAAGTTCGGGGTTTCTGTTGCTTTTTGTAGACCCCCAGCTTCCTCTTAAGCTGCTTCAGCTCCATTGACCTCTTCCCTGGGGAACGGGTAGTCGTTGTGGGCTGGTGTCGGGAGAGGACGTTAACTCCGTGGAAAGGTCGGCTTCTTTCCACACTTCTTATTTTTTTCCCCAAGTTGTCCGGTACCGGTATAATCTCCATAGCTGTCTGCTTCCTTTGGAGTCCTTCCCGAATTTTCTCCAAGGCTCTAGCCCCTCGAGAATCATAAGTTTTCATTAAAGCATTTTTATAGGATAGCTTTAATGAATCCTTATAATTTCTTGGGTCTTCAAGGAGTTTCACCGTCTCGGCAGAGTCTTTTTTCGCGGAGTCATATTTTTCCTCGGCGATTTTCCCTGGCGAAGACTGGTCGTGGGATGGAGATTTTCCCCCATCATTCCCTCCTTCTTGCGTCAAATCAGCTTCGTCAAAGTTGATTTTTCCGGAATCCCGCGGCCGTTTTCGGGTCTTTTCTTTTTTCCCAGCTAGATCTGCAATCACTGGCGACTCCCGTTTTTTGTCTTTCGATTGGCCGAAGGAATTCCGCCACTGTTGCGTGCCCGATGCTCTGCACGTGCGGCTTTCATTTTGTTGCAGTCGAAGATTCGATGACCCGGCACCCCGCAAAAATCACACGTGTGGTTGGTGCTTTTCGGACGTGGCCGCCCCTCAAACCTGTCGACTTCCATCGGGTCGGCGAACGTGGGGTGAGCCGAGCGGTCGCCCTGTCGCGTACTGCCGACGTGCGTCCGTCGTGTCCCAGCGTTGACCATGTCGAAGCGCTCCGCTGCCGAAACGACGTCACTGTAGCTCGCGTAGTTTGACGCTGCCACTTGTCGTTTGACTTCGGTCTTCAGCCCGGCGAGGTATGACTGTACTTTTTCCCCTTCGGTCAGGTCGGGAATTCGGTTATAAAATTCCTCCATCTGCTGCGTGTACTGTGCTACACTCCCGAACTGTCGATGGCGATGATTTTTTTCCCGGGCAAGGAAACCCGAATTTATCGGCTCGAAACGTTTCAGCAGGTCGGTGCGGAACTGCTGCCACGTGGCTTCACCGTGGATGAACGTGCTGTTGCCGCCAATCCACTCGAGTGCCGACCCTCGCATCAGCGTCGCCGCGAGTCGTACGCGTTGTCCGTCCCAGACTGGCGAGCTCCATCCGACGGCTGCGAAGTAGATCTCCATCCCGGCGATCCATCTGCGGGCGTCGGACTTTCGATCGCTCGGATCGAACGGCTCAGGTGGGCGCGGTTTCGGAGCCTCGAGAAACTGCTGCGACTGCTGCGTCGTCGCCGTTGTTGAGTCGTGTTCCGTTCCGGCGAGTCGAGTTACTCGCTCGAACTCGTTTTGCCACGCTTCGCGATCAGCTTGCATCTCCTACTGAAGGGCTGCGATGCGCGCGAAGAGCTGCTGGGTAACCTCGATGTTGTCGAAGGTTGCCATCCTGTTCAAAACACGCGCGGGGGGGGGGTGATTCGAAAAAATGCGGGGCTGGTGCTTACCAGAATCGGCGTCGAATTGGTCGCCCCCGGCGGTTTTTCGAGGCAGGTTTTCCCGCTGCTGCTGCTTTGTTGAGCGCGGCCGAGTGAGAAAAGCTCTGATTACCAAGTGTCACAGGATCGAATGACTCGAGGAAAGATTGCACTATCGATCAGTACAAGGCGCTTTTATACTTCTAGAGTACATCAGGTAACCAGGTTTATCTTATCCTAAGGGAATAGACCCTTCTAGAAGATAGAATCACCCTGCGTATAGCCACGCGAGGCTATTGTCTTTAAGGGATTACGACAGGATTACGCTAGATATAGCGCACCAGTACATCCCAAGCCTGGTCGGTGATAGAATTATAATAGCAGGATAAACCAAAGGGTAATGGAAAATGGAGAATAGGAAACCAAGTGAGGAGAGATAAAAAGAGGAATGAAAAATAGGAAGGAAGTAGAAAAAATGGACAAGTGGTGTAACGAGGTCGTACTCTCACAGGCCTTGTGGCTTCGCTTCCAGTGGCCGGACTAGTAGTGCCGCCCTGGTTTGCTCTTTTCTTGTTTGTACTCTTTTTGACTGGTCTTCGGACCCCTTCCTCAGAGGTTGGACTAGTAGTGCCACCCTGAGCTACATGTTTCTTGCTCAGCACTGTGTCAAAGTAGCTAGCTATGATGAGAAGCCATGGAATGGCATAAGGTTTAGGAAGGAGAAAATGTCGAGAAATAGGGGGTTGGAGTAGAAGAGAAGGGGATACAAGAAGGGGGATAGTCCCGTCTACAGTAGGATTCAGTAAGTAACACAACTACCATGCCTACACTTATATATATAAAATATATAATTTAACACACCCCCTAGTCTTGGTAGTGGCAAGCCCATCCCAACCATAGCACCCCCATTCCCTGCTGTAGCAGTGGCGTCGACCAGCCGGTCGACCCCTTGGCAATCGAGGTGGCAACTTCGACGGCGGGTTGCAGCGGCGGCAGCGGTGTCGGTGACTTCGGCGGCGGCGGCGGCAGGGCGTGTAGCACCTGCTGCGGCGGCGTCGGCACCTGTCGACTAGGGCTGCGGCAACCGAGGCAACGGCGGTGTGGCTCAACCTGCGACGACGAGGGGGAGGACGGCACGATGTCGCCAGCAGCTGCGGCGTAGAGGTAGGGAAAGGCAGAGGAGGAGAAGGGGGAAGGGGTGGGGGGCGGATCGTGTGCGCGGCGTCATGGCTGGCCCGACGCTTACTGGCATGCGGGCGGGCTGGATGCGACTAACACAGTACGCAGCCCGCTGTCGCTCGTGCGCTGGTGCGTCGACGCCGCCGCGACATTACGACGACGCCACCATGGCTGGACGTCGACGCCACGACAGCGCAACGAGGCTGCCACGGCAGCAGCGTCGAGACTGCCGCGGCAGCACAACGCGGCCGGCGGCACGACGACGCCGCCACAACAGCACGACGCGGCCACATGGCAGCACGAGAGAGAGAGGAAGAGTGCGCGGCGGAAGCGAGAGAAGAAGGTCCAGCAGGTTGAACCTGCTCTGTTACCATGTCAAAGTAGCTAGATAGGAAGAGAAGCCATGGAATGGCGTGAGGAGGTTGAGGAAGGAGAAAATGTTGAGACAAAGGGGGTTGGAATAGAAGAGAAGGGGATACAAGAAAGGGGGGTAGTCCTCTCTATAGAGAGATACGAAATACGTGAAGACTACAACAGCGAGGATTACTGAGTCAACACCGCTACAGTAACCCTGACGATTCACACATGTTGACGACACCTCACAGAGGTTATGAAAGGGCAACGGTCGCAGACCGTTGACCGTGCAACCCAACAGTCAGAAACGCAAGAATCAAGAGTCAGCGCATCAGCAAGGACAAATAACCGTCATGATATTACAGTACGGTTGGTTACCCGAGTTACCTTTATCAAGTCGTAAAAGGGCTTGGTACCCCTCGAAGTGCAAAACAGTTAGACTCTTCATATTCTATTGTGTTATTATATAGACCTTGTATCCCTCTGCTATAATCAATCACTTGTCCTCATATACCAGTCCAATGATTCAACTCGAGACTTCCGTTGTGCTATCAAGCACTCTGTTACAAGGACTTAGCATTCTGAAAAGATCCTAAGGCTTTTATCAGCCCAACAGGTTCTACATTTATACCATGAGTAGAATAACACTTCTGCATTATGGTATTTTAATAAACTATCTAACGGTTGAGCTTCAAACGACGAATCAGCAGCCATCTTCCATCTGTACCCGCGTTGGACCATGCATGCCGATGAGCGCAGTCTTTCCTAGAGTATGCTGCCACGCGTGGAGATTATCCGCCGAGCAAGGGTGACGGCCGCTGGTTTAGCTGCTGCTGATTTGTGTCTGTCTTCCGCCTAATTCCACCATGCAAGCCAGCTCAGCACAGCGGCACGTGGAACGCAGCTGGAGATATGAAAGCTGCGAGGCGACGCGTGAGAGCCCCGACATGGCATGGCGTGGCGTGGCGTGGCGTCGCGCGTTGGTGGAGGCGGGAGACATCTGGACATTGGAAGCTGTAGAAGCTGGACGGCGGGTCTGCAGCCTCGTTCGTGCCGCAGGGGGGAAATTCCCACGTTCCACGGAAAGACTGGCGAGAACTTCGCCACGGCAGCCCGCTTGAAACCCCATCCTCGGCTCGGTAGCTGCAGAGATGGTGAGGGCTTCCGAGAGGTCGCCGCGAGGAGCGATCGCTGCAGGCGGTGGTCGCGGAAGGGGAAGCCGCAGCGGAAAGGAGCGCGGGACGGGGAAGGGAAGGGCGTCGTCTGCGGCGGCATCAGTTGAGAGCGGTGGAGGTTCGGTGGAGAGGGGTGGAGGGTCGGTGGAGAGGGGTGGCGGATCTGTGAATCCAGGGTCGGCAGCGAGCGAAGGGGGAGAACGAGGCAGAGGCAGCCCGGCGCGTAAGGCACGTGGCGGGAAGGCGCGTGGCGGGTTAAGCCGGGGTTCGGCGGAGAAGGGCCGGACTCGCGGAGAGGAGGAGCGCCGTCTTGGGGGCGAGGACGCGGAGGCGGAAGGCCGTCGAGTGGGCGGTGCTAGGGAGCCCGGGTTGAGAGGAGGGGCGCACAGGGGGAGGGGAAGGGGCCGACGAGGGCGGCCGAGTAAGGCGAAGGCGGAAGGCCGGTTGGAGGTGGGAAAGCCCGCAGAGGAGGAGGGCGGAGGCGGCGGGGAGGGGCGTGAAGGGGGAGCAGTGGGGTGGGAAGGAGGTGGCAAGGAGCGGAGCCTGCTGAGCGGGTTGAGACTTGAAGACTTCCCGCCGGTGGAGCAAGGCGTGCTGGTGGGCGAGAGAGAGGCGGCCAGTGAGACGCTGGAGGAGGAGGAGGAAGGAGAGGGGGAAGAGTGGGCAGGAGGGGGCGAGGAGGGGGAGGAGGTGACGGGGTTGGAGGAGGGGAGTGAGGAGGAAGGAGGGGAGGGCGTGGAGGAGGAGATCCAGGGGCTGCTGAGAGACGCGCTGGCAGCTGAAGAGGCAGAGGAGAAGCAAGCGGAAGCACAGTCAGCAGCAGCAGCAGCAGCAGCAGGAGCAGCAAGAGAAGCGGCTGCTGCTGCAGTGACGGGAGAAGGGATCACTAAGGAGAGACCTGCAAGGCCTCGAGCGGAGAGGGTCGGGTGGGTGGCGGGAAGCACAGGGCGCTTTGTGAAGGCCTTCAAGGCGCGCGAGGTGCCCCAGGTGGATCCGAGGAGGAGCGTGGGAGGGCAAGGAGGGCCAGAAGAACGAGGGGGGGAGGTAGGGGAAGGAGAGCAGGGCGGAGGAGGAGAACAACAGATGCAAGCTGCAGGCACAGGAGGAGCAGTAGAGGAAGGAGGGGTGGCAGCAGGACAAGGAGGGGCAGCAGCAGGGCAAGGAGGGTCAACAGTGACGGCAGTGGTGACGCGCACGCACAGAGAGACTGTGGCGGTGTCAGACGAGCAGCAGGTGGTGCGAGTCACAGAGAGGACCGTGCGGGTGCAAGTGCAGGGGGAGGAGGTGGAGGAGGGGAGTGAAGCTGCAGCTGAGGCAGTGCGTGGCGTTGCTGCCCTTGTGCCTGCGACGGCCCAACCTGTTGTCGAGATGGCTGGTGGGTCGGATGTGCAGGCCCTTGCAGAGCAGCCGCAGGAGAAGCAGCCAGTGGTGGCGGCATTAGCAAAAACCGGTGGCACGAGACCTGGTGCGACTGCAGCCACAACAGTATCTGAAGCAACGGGTGCAGCCCTAAAGACACCCTCTGCGACTCCAAAGACTCTATCTGCGGCAGCAGCAGCTTCCCCAGCTGGAGCGCCGGCAACACCGTCTGCTGCAGCTGCTGTGCCCCCTGCATGGCGCCTGGACGACCAGCAGCCGACTGATAGGGGAAGCAAGGCTGGAAAAGAGCAAGCGGTGGGTGAGAAGACTGCGGAGGGCAGCAGAGGAGGTGGCGCTGCTAGTGGGCCGCGGGGAATGAAGCGACCTGCTGCCATGATGGGAGGTGGGGGAGGGCTGGGCGTTGGAGGGCTGAGTGTTGCAGGGGGTGGGACGTCTGTAGGGCTAGGTCTTCCTGGTGGGTCCGTGGGGCTTGGTGGGCCTGGTGTGGGGCTTGGTGGGCCTGGTGTGGGGCTGGGCAGCATGGTGTCAGCGATGGATTCGCGCATGGTGGAGATGGCGGTGCGGCACGCCATGGCGGCACGCGTGGAGGGGCAGAGGAGGGCGGTGGAGGAGAGGAGGAGGGTGGTGAGGCAGATGCGTCTGCAGGAGGAGCGGAGGAGCAGCGAGGCCACAAGGCTGCAGGCCGAGAGGGATGCGCACCTCAGGGACATGGACGACACATTGCTGGAGCTGGTGAGTGGGCCAATGCCTTATGTTGTTCACCTGTTCTCCCCTTTCCCCTCCCCCCTCTCCCCACCCCCCCTTCCCCTTTCGTTTTTCCATCACTCTTCCATTCCCTCCTGCTCTGTTGTTTTCCATTTTTTCACCGTTCTCCAACAGCTTCTTGTCCCCCTCGTCGAAGGTTGCGAGGCAATGAGAGCCTTGCAAGGGCAGCTATGGATCACAGCGGGTGGCAGAGAGAGCATTGCAGGATAAAGGGGCTTCTGCAGGACAAGGCAGCACTTTCCTGCCGTAAAAAAATTCCTGTACCCTCTACCCTCTACCCTCTACCATCCGTTCTTCCCTCTACCCTCTAACCTCCATTCTTCCCTATACCTCTACTCTTCACTCCTGTACGCTGCACCCTGTACCTTTCATCATGCAGGTTGCAAGGGCCGAGGGTCTCGAGAGGGCAGCCAAGGAAGCACGGCGGGTGGCAGACAGAGCCGTGCAGGACAAGGCAGCACAGGAGGCGGCGATCAGAGAGAGATACCAGGCACGTTGGGGGGTGTGTTTGTTTCTGAGTGAGTGGGGAGGTGAGGAGAGGTAGGGCGGCTGGGAGGGAGTTGGTATATGTGTGTGTGTCAGTGTTTTGAGGAGAGGATTGGGATTAAGGTGGTGGAGGTGTCTGTTTGCGTGTTGGGAGTAGGGTGGTGGGTGGGTGAATGCATGTGTGTGTGTGTGTGTGTGTGTGTGTGTGTGTGTGTGTGTGTGTGTGTGTGTGTGCGCGCGCGCGCATGTGACGCTTTCTATCCTCCTGCCTTTCCCTACTTCCCTTGCTCCCTCATTCAAACTCTCTATTTCTCGCTCCCCCTGCCCCTTTCCCCATCCCCTCCCCACTCCCTTGCTGGGTCGCTCATGCTCACTCCCTGCTCCCGTTCCACCTCCCCTTCCCTCACTCGCATCACTTTTTCCCATTCACACACATTCAGGCTGCCCCTCCCAATTCACTCTCACACACTGTGCACAAACCCCTCTCTTCCTGCCTGTCATTCTTCCCTGTGCCCTAAACTCCTTGACACGGCTGGTTTCCACTCTCGCACTACTGGCAGGTGACAGGGAGATAAGTGTGTCTGGTACTGGTTCCTTTTTGCTCTCCCTGTGCTTGCCTCTTCCCCCCAGGCGCTCCTATCAGATGACAAGGAGAGAGATGCACTTGCAGAGGCACAGCGTGAGTTGGATGCTCAGCAGGCAGAGCTGCAAGAGCTTGAAGCAAATCAGCCAGCTCTGGTTGAAGACCTTACGATGAAGTTCTGGGGCAATGTGAAGAGCCAATTATATGGTAGTGATGGCTGAACCTGCTACTGCAGTATTTTTTCAACCAAACTGCTCAGTTGGTGCAGTTGAAGGCGAAGTTAGGGGCAAAATCAAGAGCAGGGTCCTCCGTAGGCTTATTCCACTTTCTAAGCCATCAGACAAACCATACGGGGATTTCTGACCATCAGACGAGCAGTTTCTCATTTTCTGTTTTTTAAGACTACGCAAAACGATATCTGATTTCCGAGACGAAATGTAATACGATTTCTGTTTTATTTTCTTAGCCTTGTCGTGCTCCTACAAGCTCTTAATTAGGCCCCCAAATTGTCTCAACCATATATGGGGGGTTTGTTAAATTATATATATATTATATATATATATATATTACTCTAATGCCTCAACCCTAATTACTCTAATGCCTCTGTTGGGCTGAGAAAAGCCCTTAGGATCTTTCCAGAGACTAAGTCCCAGTTGTGACAGGCTTGAGTAGTGCAGCGGAAGTTGAGGTAGTTGAACCCTTGTACTAGTATATGAGAACAAGTGATTGATAAAAGAAACAAGCATACAGCAATATATAGAAAATAGGAAAGTAAAGCAGTTGTAGAATACAGTTACAGGAGTGGTTTATCGAGTCGCACAGCGACTCGATTGTCGCTTCGGTTACCATCCGCGCTGTTGTAACGGTCAGTCGCAACCTCCAGTTGCGACCCTTCAAGTCCCTTCGCGTTCTTTGTTCGCCCCCTTGTGTAACCTCCGTTGACTCGCGTACCCGTTGTGATCTTCCTCGAGTGTAGTGTTACACTTCAGAAACGCTTAAGTCCTTTGATATATTTCCAACACTCCCCTTCGTTTCTGGAGTGCTGACGTGTTCGGATCCGGTGACGTTTGTCTGTCCGGTCAGCAGCATGCAGTAATCGAACTTCGCCTTCGCCAATTTCTTCGTCAGATAGTCTGCGGCCATTTCTGTCGTAGGGCAGTAACTGAGTTGAAGTCTCCCCTTCGCGATTTCATCCTTGACGAAGAAGTATCGCAGGGCGATGTGTTTGGTTCGGTTGGCGAAGCCGTCCTTGTTTGCGATTTTGATCGCAGATTGGTTGTCGCAGAGGAGTGAGAAGGCGGGCAGGGTCGCAATCTTCGCTTCCTCTAGCAACTCTCGTAGGTAGAGTCCTTCCTTGGTCGCAGTACAGAGGGCGATATATTCTGCTTCAGCCGAAGATAGTGCGATTAGTTCCTGCTTGCTTGACTGCCAGGAGATAGTCCCGATAAGTTCTAGTCGGTAGATGTAGCCCGTTCTCGATCGTCGATTTTCCTTGTCTCCCGCGTGGTCGGCGTCGACGTATCCGAGTAGTCGTACGGACGGTGTGGTTGATTTGCTGTAGGTAAGTCCGGTCGTCGGCGTGGAGACGAAGTAGAGTAGTGCCCGGTTGAGCTCCTCGAGATCTTCTTGTTCCGGCTGCTTCAGATGCGTCGCCAGTTGGCTCGCGCTGTAGGAGAGATCGGGTCGGCAGGTTACTGCTGCGAATAGTAGGCAGCCGAGTTTCTGTTGATACTCCTGGATTTGCTTCGCGGGGAGTTTTGCGGAGGTGCTGTTGTTGTTCCCGTAGCGGTAGGGAGTTGGGATCGTAGTCGGTGTTAGACCAAATTTCTTCGCGACGGTGCCTGCGTACTTTCCAGCGTGTAGGTAGAACGCCGAGTTGTCTTCGACGACATTCAGTCCCAGGTACTGGGTCACTGCGTCGGATACCGTGATCGTCAAGTCTTCTTTCAGCTCCCCTTCGAACCAGGTGGCGATGTCGGTAGTGGAGCCGATGTAGAGCAGGTCGTCGACGTAAACGATGAGTAGGATATACTCTTTTCCCTTTTGCAGTCGGTACATGCCTTGGTCATGCGGCAGCTGTAGGAATCCGATTTTTGCGAGGCGACCGTGAAGATGCTGCTGCCAGAGCCGCGGGGCTTGCTTGATCCCGTATAGGGATTTTATCAGCTGGCATACTTTCGTGGGGTCGTCGATGAATCCGTGGGGTTGTTCGACGAAGATCTCAGCGTCCACAGGTGCGTACAGGAAAGCATTTGCGACGTCGATTTGGCACAGTGGTAGTTTCTTCGTGGCCGCGACGGCGAGTAGGATGCGCAATGAGGTGTGACGGGAGACTGGGGCGAATGTTTCTGTGTAGTCGGTTCCGTATCGTTGATCGAACCCTCGTACGACCCATCGAGCTTTGAATCGTTCGGTGGAACCGTCGGCATTGGTCTTGATGCGGTACACCCATTTTCCCGAGAGGACATTCTTCCCGTTGATGCTTGTTGCAGGTACCAGCTTCCATGTATTTCGGTCTTGCAGAGCCTTTAACTCCTTTTCCATCGCCTCCTTCCATTTCGCCTTATGTTCCCCCCCCAGAGCCTGCGACAGAGTCGGGGGCTCGCGCGGAGATGGCGGCGGCGGATGCTGGACGGAGACCCAGAGGCCGAGTATCTGCAGTTCCGTGGGTGTGTGTCGAGGGGAATTTTCATTCCCGGAATAGGCTGCTTCGTCACCGTCTTCTGGATCAGGTAAGAAGTTGGGGCCGATGCGTTCTGAAACATTTGTGTCGACCGGGTGGGGTGTAATGTAACCTTGGTCAGCGAAGTGGTAAAAGGTGTCGAGGTTGTTACTATCGAGGGGATTGTCTTCGTCGAGTGGAACAGGTACGGAACAGAAAGGGAGTGGTCCGGCAGCTTCCGAGGCTCCAGGTACGTCTTCTTCTGCTGCGTCAGCCTCGGCAGCACGGTCGGCGAAGGAACGAAGACCCGCGAAGCCGTCGGTGGGGTCGTGTGTGTTGGCAATGTTGTCCAGGTAATGCTGCAGCGTCAGTCGCTCGTAGAAGATAACGTCACGTGATGCCACTGTATTTTTGTCTTGTATGTCGTGGATTTTCCATGCGTGAAAATGTTTTGCGATGCCGAGGTGTAGTCCCCACCGAGCTCGTTGAGTGAAGCGTCCTGCTCGGGCTGTGTGGGGTCTGTACTGTACCATGCAGCCGAAAACGCGAAGTAATATCATGCGAGTTCCGCGGAGTTTCCATAGCTCCGATATGTTCTGATGCTCTGCTGTTCTTGTGGTGACAGGTTCCGCAGGAGAACTGTGTACGCCAGCAGCGTCTGATAAGTAAATATTTCTTGCTCCTTTGCAGTGCCGTTGCTTGGGAATGGCAGGGACCCGTTGAAGTATCCCAGGAGATGCGCAGCCTCCATCAGCAGCTCGAACTCAAAACTCCAGGTAAAGAAATCGTGTCCGTTGAATGGTGATGATGTCTGCAGTTTAATCACGTGTGAGAACTGCGCCTGGAGACTTAAAATCTCGTTTGGTGTTTGTTGTGATGCAGCTGCTGTTGGTTGGGCACGGGGCGGCATAAACTCGAACGTCCCCGGTGAAGAGTGATAAGGCGCAAAGGTAGGAGCTTGATTGTGTCACCCGAACGATGAGTTGTCGAGGCTCATCGGCGCTAATCCCGTGTTTCCTCCGTTGCTCTGTGTTGAATGAGCAGGTGTCCTTGTCTGCTGCTGCTGGTCGAAGTGCGACATGAAGCTGAAGAACCTTTCCATAAGGTTTGGGTCGACGCTTGAAGACGGCGATGGGGTCACCATTTCCGGTGTTCTTCCTGTTGTCTCTTGAGCAGCGCCGGTCTCGGTCTGCAGTCCTGAAGTGTGCAGCCCAGAGTTGCCGTGTTGAGTGTCTTGGGCACTGGGTGAGCCCGTAGAGGTCTTCTTGCCCTTGTTATCCATGACTTGTAATCAATGAAGTTGTTGAATTGCAGATTGTAGATAGAGCGTAGTTGCTGGGAGTTTGGTCTCTGACCAGCTCTCATACCATGTTGGGCTGAGAAAAGCCCTTAGGATCTTTCCAAAGACTAAGTCCCAGTTGTGACAGGCTTGAGTAGTGCAGCGGAAGTTGAGGTAGTTGAACCCTTGTACTAGTATATGAGAACAAGTGATTGATAAAAGAAACAAGCATACAGCAATATATAGAAAATAGGAAAGTAAAGCAGTTGTAGAATACAGTTACAGGAGCGGTTTATCGAGTCGCACAGCGACTCGATTGTCGCTTCGGTTACCATCCGCGCTGTTGTAACGGTCAGTCGCAACCTCCAGTTGCGACCCTTCAAGTCCCTTCGCGTTCTTTGTTCGTCCCCTTGTGTAACCTCCGTTGACTCGCGTACCCGTTGTGATCTTCATCGAGTGTAGTGTTACACTTCAGAAACGCTTAAGTCCTTTGAGATATTTCCAACAGCCTCAACCCAAATTACTCTAGTGGCTCAACCCTATATGGGGGGTTTGTTAAATTATATATATATATATATAATTGTAGGCTTGGTATGTATTATTGGATCCTATCGTAGAGGGGACAAGCCCCCTTCTTGTATCCCTCTTCCTATATTAAACTGAAAGAATGACTAGAACAGTGACATACAAGGGAATATAACCTAATGGGTTGTACTCCCTAAGGCACAACCCGATATAGTATATAACAAGATGCAATGTATGTTTGACACACCCCCTAGACTGGATAGGGGCAGTGCCTGATGAGAGAGAACCAGCTCAGGGCGGCACTACTAGTCCAGCCTCTGAGGCAGGGGTCTAAAGACAACTCAAACGAGTACAGACAAGGCAAGAGCAAGACCAGGGCGGCACTACTAGTCCAGCCACTGGGAAGAGACCACAAGGCTAGTCAAGGTAATATATACACTGACGGAAAGAATTGTCCACATGTTTGGCAATTTTTTTAATTTCCACGGTTAAAGGGCATTTGAACATTAAGCCTTAATTGGAGGCATTACCCACTATATGCAGGACAATCTAGGGACACATAAAAATGCTACACATTTGATGAAATTACTATCGTTAACAGTAAAAAGCAAACATAACCAAACACGGTGCATGTGGACAGTTATTTCCAGGCGGAAGCAGTAACTTGAAAAACCCTTAAACTAGTACCTGGTCCACCGCCCTTTAGCCCTAATCACTGCTTTCACCCTCCTAGGCATGCTGTCGATCAAATTGGAGCACACCTCTGATGGGATCTTCTCCCACTCCTCTTGTACACGCTCCCACAGGTCCACCATACCAGAAGGAGGTGTCTCATGCTTTCCCAGCTCCTTTTTAAGATGAGCCCACAGATGCTCAATGGGGTTCAGATCAGGACTTCCTGCCGACCACTCCAGGACCCCATACTCCTGCTCCTGAAGCCACTGCTGCACCACACGGGACTTATGCTTGGGGTCGTTATCA